GATTACACGGGACCATGCATGCCAAGCGTTTATTTCAGTGCATACTGATTAAACATGACCTATTATTAGAGTTATTATCCAATCTGCCACTGTTACAGCAAAGCACAGCCTGGTCCGCTCCTCCGGAAGCAGCGGCCTGTCTCCCGACACTCAGGCTGTGGCGGGAGGAGGTTCTCCCCAGCCGGCCCGGTTGTCAGTTAAGCGCGCCCTCCTGGAGAAGAGAAGGGGCCAGAGTAGCTCCGGGGAGCGGGGGATGCTGAAATATGGATGAAGAATATTCCGCCTGACCACCCGGCCATTCACTCAAACACACGCCTCTGAAAGTAGAACTTACTTTTCAAGGTAGAATTCCAAGATACCGAAGGGAAATCTGTATTTCATTAACAAAATAGATGCTGTTTATTAAATTATAGCTTGGTCTTCTTTACTGACCTTCCTTTTTAATATTTCTGGAGTTTTTAACTTTCAAGAATAACTTAGTCTGCTTAACAGATTAAGCACTGGCTTTTCTCCTGAGCTAGACTGTCACAGAAAATTGGGCTGCTGAATCGTCGCTGGGAATCCTGTATTTAATCTTTTATGTACAACTTGCCCACTGTGCAGTATTTAAATTCCTTCAGGCAAAGATACAACTAATTTACCACTTATCCAGGTTAAATATATCTGATTGTATGGCCTATCAAATCATCGTCTATGGACTAACACATTCTCATTTCAGTCAGCAGGAGAGAGAAGTCAAAGAATGTTAAATTATTTAAGAAGAGCATGTGGTACATCAATTATCGTGAAAATTTAAATGTAGTTCAGGACTAATAAAACTTTGCTTCTCATAAAGGCTGCCACTAAAACTCTGCATGGTAGCCCCAAAAATCCAGTTGCTATGGAGAGAGGAAGCTCAGGGGTTTTTCTCCTGCCCTGAGCTGCCGGGGCTAAGTGAGGTCACTCTGTAGTCACATTTCTCTGTAAGTACAGCCCTGTCTGGGGCCTGAGTCAACGAATCTGAGGCTGCCTCTCCCATCCAAACGGCACTGTCCGTTCTGCATGGAGGTACGGGGGTGCTGGGCTCCCCCCACGCAGTGCCAGCGACAGCACCCGCTTCGGCCTTGTGCACAGAACCTGGGGCAATCATGACAGCATCTCATACACAGACCTGGGGGCCACTCCCCACGTCACCCCGACTCCTGGTCGTGGGTAATGACTGTGAGTGGAGGACGCAGCTGAACACATGGGTCCGGGTCCCCGGTATTGAGGCCTGTTCGATGGAGAAAGAGTGAGAATGTCAACTTTGTCCTGCTCCAACATTTAAGAGCACTTAAAACGTTTAAATTTAAGAGCAAGGAAGAAGCAGGAATTTTCCATGGGAGGAACGTCTTGGCGTCAAGATGCCCATTCTGACTTTTCTTAGCAACAGCGTGCCAGCAGCCAAGGCATCTTACACAGCCGTGAAGTGCAGGACACGATGCTTGCGTCAGCTCTCTGCTGGCAGGGCTCTGGTGCCCTGCCGACCACTCTGTGTGTCCGTCTGGCCCTGCTGGCATCCACTCCCTGCCTCCTCAAGGGCCCACCAGCCCCACCCCGATCCCCCACATTTACCTTGGTCCCATCACCCAGTGGGCACGGGAAGTGCCGTTAACCCCCATTTCCGGACAGCAACCCAGGTCAGGGAAGCCCCATGACTTCCTGGGGCTACGTGGCTCGGAAGGAGCAGAGCTGAGACTCACATCCTGGATTCTCTGCCTTCGAATCCAATGCTTAGGGAGCAAGGACTTCATGGTAGGCATGAGCCTGGCCTTGGCTTTGCCGGGAATAGTGCATCTCTAATGGAAGGAGAGAGGGCACGACCAGAAGGAGAGAGAAGAGAATATACAATCTTCTATCATGTTTCGATGAAAATTAAGTGTGGCTGAACATCTGGCTGCCAAGTTCTCTGCTGCCATCTCTGGCAAGAAGCGCACCGTCTCCATGTTTTTTTTTTGAGATGAAAATCTATTTACCATCCCTGACACCACGGTCTGCAGGGAGTTGTTTCCCGGGCAGCTGTGAAGCTCCTCCTCTACCTCCAAGTGACCAGCCGGGGCCTCTTCTGTTTGCTTCTTCTGGGTTGTCTATGGGCAGCTGTTACTTCACGGTTCTTAATGAGTCTCCAGGATCTTAATTCATGAGCTCAGGGAGAGCTTAAAACCCCCAGCCTCTGGCCACTAGGCAAGAGGTGGTTTTCCTGAGAAACCCAAGTCCCAAAAAAGCCTGTCGCGATTTCTTTTGGGACGTGAAGTAAGCAAAAGGGTAGCTGACTTTTCCTTCCCTCTCTGACGCTGTTAGCTGCTCCCCTCTCCTTGATCCTGGAGTAATAGAGTCGGCTTCTCAAAGACATCACCAGCCTTCTCCTCCCAGAAGCGGTGAGCAGGAGGCCTGCCTCCTCAGGAGGAATGTTGAGAGGAACTCGTCTCTGGGCCATGGCTGCCTCCACAGGGTATGACCAAATGGGTCTGCCACGGACATGTGGCCTGCTCCCCCGCAGCTCTGAGCTCCCCTGGGCTTCCAGCCGAACAGCCCTCGTCTACCCTCCTGTGGCGAGTGCTCTCCAGGGAGTGGCCGGCAGGGACTCATGTGACCACTGAAAATGGTGTTGGCCAAAGGCACAGCCTTTCAGCCGGTGCATCTAACCCTTCCCTGAGCCCTCACTAAGGGCATGAAATATCTGGTTCCTCAGCAACTTTGACACTCAGAGTTAAGAATTTTTTGATGCTACATATTTTTAGGCCTTTTGACAAGAAGTTCTGGTACGATTTAAGAATGATGTGGATGAGGAAAGCACACTGAATGCTGGGTTTTTCAAAGCGTCGCCAAGCAATGGGCTCTAAGCAGGCTCGGTGGGAGGCTGGGGGGTGACTTCTGGCCCTTAATCCTCACCAGGTGACTGCTCACAAGGCTCCTTTAAGTCTTCACGATTGACGATTGAGACAGAAACCTTAAAGTGCGCCAGAGTTTTCTGTGACGGTTAAGTAAGGTGATTAACAGAAAGCTTTAAAACTGGCCCCTGAAGATTTAAAGACAGGGCACAAATACTTTCGAGAGAAGCAAACAAAGTGAAGGAGAAAAAGAATGTGTGACAAGGGTAAAAACTAGAGGTCCTCTCCTCTACCCATTACAGGACTTAATGCGAATGAAGGTATTTGTGTGTGCATGCAGACAGGTCGCTGTCCCATGAATGCTGACCAAGTATCTTTATTTGGCAATATCAACAATCGGAGGAAAAGATGGGCTAGGAGAACTTTTCAGTTAATGTGTCCTGACCCTGGAGACCTAGCCGAAAATCTGCCCTGGCAACCAACAGAATTCCTAATTAACAACAGATCTGCTCCCACGTGGCGCGGTGCCACCAGCCGCCTCCCTGTCTGCTCCCTCGCTGGGGCTGTGGTGCAGTCCCTGTCACTAACCCTGATCCTGGCTTTCATCTGTTAGGGAGCACACCCAGCAGCCACATTTGGGAACTCCTGCCTTTTTTCCCTCTCGGCTGATTTTTTTTTCTCTTCTCCTTCCGCTAATCTATGACGCTGTCTCTCTTTCAACACCCCTTTAAAAGTCATCTCTGGGAGTGCCTGGGTGGCTCAGTCGTTAAGCGTCTGCTTTCGGCTCGGGTCATGGTCTCAGGGTCCTGGGATCGAGCCCCGCATCGGGCTCCCTGCTCCGCGGGAAGCCTGCTTCTCCCTCTCCCACTCCCCCTGCTTGTGTTCCCTCTCTCGCTGTGTCTCTCTCTGTCAAATAAATAAATAAAATCTTTAAGAAAAAAAATAAATAAAAGTCATCTCTGCTGTAAAACCTCATCCATTTCTCTCTACCCTCGAAGTTCTTTCTGAATGGTTCTCCACTGAGGGTAATTTTATCAAACACAGTACTAGATGTGAAAGAGCTTTACAAGCCATAGAGTGCTAAATACTTAGAGATTATTAAGAATCCCTCTCCTCGGCACTCACATCACCAGTTCAGAGGATCATTTCTTCAATCAGCATTGTTTTGTCTCCTCTGTTGGATGCTTCCTACTCCAAGCATGACCCACCAGCCTGCAGCTTCAGCGTCCCCCCACCTGCCGGAAGTGCACCCTCTCAAGTCCTGACGGTGCCCCCTGAATCCGAATCCAAACCCTCACCACATCTCCAGGTGAGTTCTATGTATGTTAAAATTTGAGAAGCATGGAATTCGACGTTACGGCCCTCAAAGGTACACATGGCACAGAATCGCCCGAGAAAGCCCTCCGGAACCTGCAGAGGCCTCCAAGCTGGTGTTCTATGGGGGTGGGGGTGGGGTGCTCAAGAAGATTGCCATGTGACTGCTGGCCTGCCAGCAATAAAACTAAAAGCCTGCCTGAGTCTGCCACATATGAATGATGCTATTTACAGGAACAGACGTCACCTGAGATTTCTTTATAGTAAAAGCTTTAAAATCACATCTGCATAAAAAACACAGACGGGTCCGTTTAGGATAACTCATTATCAGGCTGAGTGCTTAAGTCCTTGGCAACTGGAAGGAGAGTCAGTGAACTGTAGCCCCCTCTCCCCAGAGCGAGCTCGTGTAAATCACAGAGGCTCCCTAGACTTCACAGTTCAGGCCCCGTCGCTTTACCAATGCCCCTGAACATTTTAATGAAGTTCAGAAACCACAGGTATGAAAGGACAGCTGCCCTGGGACCCCCACGGCACACGTTTGGTACCTCTGCAAAGTCCTGACCGAGAGGAGTGCTCTGGAAACCCGGGGCAGCTTCCCCTCTTCCCAGGACACGGCGGTCACGCTCCCCAACAGCAAGAAGATTAATTCGGGACTCCAATTCCTCCATTATATGATCCCTTCCTAATGATTAGCAAAGCATCTCCCAGAAAGACTAGACTGAGGCCAAACAAATGAGCAAATAAACCAGGCTGAATGAATTCCATCAACTGATCATTATTTAAAATTATCTCTTAGGGACCAGGTCTTATTTAAGGAGAAAAAAGAAAAGGATCCATGACGAAGAAAAGAGGCTGAGTACGTAGAGATGGGAAATCAGGTTGTGGGGTTAGATCTAGGTTAAAAGCCCAGCCCCAGTTAGGTGGCCGTGTTCGAATGTCGTGGAGCCTCACCGTTTCCTCCTTTAAAATGGGGATGATACCACCTGTCTGGTGCTTCTGCAGTTCACTTGAGAGGACACACAAACTCTAGAGTCTAATACCTCACCTAGGCTAAGAGCTCAGTAGCCCAGGACACATTAGACGTTCTTTTTCTGCTGTGTGACCTGCTCGCTGGCTCCCGTACCGTGCTGCTCGCCCCGAGGACAGAGCTGCGGTCCCGGCCCAAGTGTGAGCCACCTCCAGGAGCTTCCGGCTCACCTTGATCATTTCTGCCACGTAGCTCTCGGGCCCAGTGTACTCTGTGGAGTCCTTCACTTTCACCAGCACGATGAAGCACAGGTAGTGCCACATGTTGTGTTCTTCCTTGATGTGCTCTTCAAAGGTGACAGTCTTGTTGTCGAACTTGTCTCTCTCCAAGCCTACGGAGAGACGGAAAAACCCCCAGCCCCAAGTGAGCAGCCACGGAGCAGGAAAGTCTGCGAGAGAACTGTCCGCAGGGGAGGCGCGGGTCTAGTCCCCATCTTTGTGCAGAGTTGGATTCTGGTGGCCTCCACCATGCATTCCCTTTTACATCCCCACAGGGAAACCCAGGCTGTGGGGAAGATGGCCCTGGGTCTGCATCCCACCTCTGCCCTCTCCCAGTCACTGTTTAGTCTCCACGTGCCTTAGTGGCCTTGTCAGGGAACAGGGGGAGAACCTTAAACACATTTTGAACTTCAGCTGGTAAGTTTGTATTTTGTAGAGGTCTGGGTGAGCCACTATTTGAAACTAGTTTCTGTGGATTCTTGGATGGAGCAGGAAAATATATGATGTATAATGGGAGCTAGATTTCTGTCAAAGAAGGGAGCACAACTATGGAAAGGGAGAAACACTGTAATGGTGAACTGGAATGAGAGGTATGGGTATGAACTCATCCTTTTTCAGATGTATATAAAAACAGACACAGAAGTGTATGGCATGTGTATGTGTACACAAATATGCACGGGTGTGTTTGTGCATGTCTATGCTAGATCTGCACCCTAATAAGCCCTGGGAGCAGGGGTACAGTGGCAGGAATGTGCACACCTGGTCCCCGGATCCTAGCTTCTAAATACCCTTCTCCACTAAAAAGAACCAGGGCTTTTTGGAAAAATGGGCGATGCCAGGGCCGGGTCAGAGAGACACAAGTTAAGCTTGAACCTGGACTATCTCATGGCACTAATAAAGTAAGGAAGTACACAAAAAATTATGGTGACATGACAAAACAGAGAACCAGCTTGTAGGGCAGGACACATCTGGGGCAATCTGAGCATCAAAACAAATAATGACATTAAAGGATTATAATCCACTGGATTAAATAAAAATACCGGAATCCATGTTGTCACAAATACAAAATTAATATGTATTAATACATATATAGTATACATACCTACATGAGAAGAGAAAGTTCTTTCTTAAAAAGCCAACTAACAAATGTAGAAATAATAATAAAATCATCAAGGGACAGCCATCCTAATAAAAGAGGCAGGCAGGAAACATCAGTGGACATTAAAGCTAGTGGATAAATGTTTAATTTGAGGAATAATGGGATATTTACATGGTTGCAAAATATCTCCTCATAAATGTTTCCTGACTACAAAGAGAAAAAAACCCTAACCTTTAGTGGAGAAACCTGGCGATCACCACCTTAACCAAGTGACTGGAGTTAATATCACCAGTTATAAGAGGAATAGGCATCCTGTGCCTCCTGAAATGATGCACTGAGGAGAATAAACATTTCTTTGATGTTCCTACAGAAAACGCATGACCCCAATTCTACCATGAGAAAACATCAGAGAAACCCAACCTAACGGACATTCTACACAATAACTGACCATACTCATTAAAAATGTCAACAGAGGCTAAAGAGCCATGACAATGGAATGCAACATGACCTGGGCTTCCACTGGCTATAAAGGGCATTACTAGGATAAAGGGTGAAATATGAATAGGGTCTGCAGAGTGAGTAACAGTATGGTATCTTTGCTAATTTCCTAATCTTAGTAACTATACTGCATATTTATGAGAGAAGCTTCTTGTTTAGGAAATACATATTGAAATACTTAGGGATCAAGGGGCATCATGCCAGTGGATCTCAGACTATAAGAAAAACTATGTGTATGAACAAGCAAATGAAGTAAGACATTAATATCTGGGGACTCTGGATGAAGAGTAGATAGAAATTCTTTGTATCATTCTTATCACTTTTCTGTAATTCTGGGATTATTTCAAAACAAAAGGCTTGAAGTGGTTTTAAGGGGGCAAAAAGCAGATTTACGTTTTTAAATGGAAAATGCTCATTTTTTGAGTAGATGTACCAGTAGGAAATTTATATATTCACAGTTACTGTATTATGAATAATCATGAAATGACCACTCAGCTGCCAGATTCCTACGTGATTAGTATACATTTCCACGTACCCCCTGTGGCTATACTGACAATGGTTTCTTGGGCACCCCATGCACCCGTCTACTACTTCTCATTGAGCGCCTACAATGTGCAGGTTCTGTGCTAGGAGGGCTACACGGACCAGCTCTCTTAGCCCCACAATAATGCAGAGAAGTACATATTATTGTACCCATTTTGCAGAGGGAAAATCAAAGTACAGAGAGTGAAGCGACTATGCCAAGATTATGCGCCTAGGAAGCAGCAGAAACTTAATCAGAACCCAGGTCTGAGTCCTGAGCCCAGGCTCTGAACACCTCCACCATACCCTCTGAGGGGAATATTCTTTCATTTAACGCCCGCTACCATCTGCAGTGGAGACATCCACAGGCTGGCACCAGATGAAAGATGTCCAGTCTAGTTACTTAGAAGGGGGCCAAGAGATGCTCGGCAGCCCCCCCAAAATGAAAAGACCCCAAGACACATTCATTTCAAATTATGTGCGATCACATGTCTGCCACAGGAACCTTCATTCCTGCAGACTCACTGGCGCCGGGAACTGCCGCTCGGGTCCCTCGGCTGCAAACACCTCCCAGCAGAAGGGAGGCAGAGGAAAGGCACCCCCAACGCCAGGGGCAGAGAGGCTTGAGGAGGCAGCGGCGCCTCGCCACAGAAAGCCTGCGGGCAGCCCGTCCGGTCCGTGGAGCCTGAGCTTCCCTGCGAAAGCTGGGCTGCCACACTCACCACAGATAAAGCATGTGGTCTTTAAAATCTCCTCCTTCTTCTGCTTCTCACTCCTCAGGTCAGCAAAGGTGTCAATGATGACCCCGAAAATCAGATTAAGGACGATGATGATGACCATGAAGAAGAACAAGAGGTCATAGATCACTCTAGCGGCAAAGAGGGGCTCCTAGAAAAGAGGCGTCTCCATCAGTGAGGTCACCCCACTGCCCTTTGGTCTGCAGAGCTCAGGGCAGAAGGAAGAGGCCGCCAATGGGCCCAACATTCGTGGCTCACCCTCACCCCACGGGTCTGCTCTGTCACAAGTTAAACCGGGCAGCAAACTTGAAAAGTCACAGCTGTGTCTCTTTTTCACACCCGCTGTCCAAAGGGTCGGTTCTGCCAGTGTCGTGTGGCATGTGCACGAGAGCAGCTCCCTGGCATCTGAGGGGTCTTGGACATGTATTCAGGTAGGCCAGACCCGGCCCGGGGGGCAACAAGCATTTCCGTGCCCTGAGCGGAGGGCGGGAGCTGCCCCGTCCCACAGGGCAGGGGTCCTCGCCCCGCTCCAGGGTGGGCAGTGGAGAGAAGGAAGCCTCAGCTAGCTAGCTCTGCACGTCTACTCCGCACTACACCAGCTCTGCTTTGTCCTGGGTTTCTGCGCAAGCTCTCTGCCTTGTGCTCTGGCCCCCCGCCCC